TGGAATTTCCTCCTTCTTTCCAGGGGTAGTGATTGCCCCAAATTCTTTTCCCTTGCTTTTCAGGCCAGAAAGCTTATGAGTTTTGTATGGAACTCTAGCTGTCCTTCAGGGCTGACTTTAGCCTATTGTCAGAGTAAAAGCAACAGTAACTCTCCACAAAATCAGCAGTTTCCTCCTTCTAAACTTTAGCTCCCCTCCATCATTTGCTTCTGTTTAATCTGTAATCCCTTCAAGAAATTACTTTTATGTAGTTTTTGTCCAGAGTTTATAGTTATCTTCTCTAGGACGGTTGGGTCTGATAGGAGTCTTCTAAACTCTCCTAGAAACAGAAACCTCCAGCTAAATCCTTTTTGACTCATATTCCCACCAAAAATTTTGGTTTGAGTTATTCCTTTATTCGGACCTATTTACGCATCTTCCTTACTCTGTTTTATATTCTGGAAAGAGTAATAAGTAGTGTGGCAGTCTTAGAGCATTCTGTGGAATGCAAATCTCAAGCTCTACCCTTTTATGTTTTAAGACTGAGGCTGTTAATGGAAGTGACATCTTCTAGTTATTAACAGTGTAGTTGAGCTGACTCAAAACATCCCTCATCTTCACATTACCTACTTGTTCATTTCTAGTACAGTCTGGCAGTCAAGGGTGGCTTGTGCAGGACTGTGAAGTCTGTGATAAGGAGTCTGGACTTCATCCTACGAGTGTTAGGATGCTGTTGGGGAATGTTGAGTAGAGGGGTCACCTGAATTGTGTGAGACTATGAGGAAGAAAGCAGAAATAGTTAAAAGACTTGCAGTAGTCTAGTGGAGGGGTGTTGACAGCCTGGACCAGGGCAGTGGCAGTGATAATTATAGGTGAGCATACCACAAGTCCTTAGAAAATGCCAAGGTCTCTGGAAGTGGGAAGCCCAGAATGTACCATTTTTTTCCAAAAGAAAACTAGAGTTATGAGATTGGTTTCTACTGTCATTTTTTTCTCTTTTCCAGCCCTTGGTATTTGAACTGGACAAGGAGAATTCTGTGTTTCAGGAACTTGAATGCCATGCCAAGAGAATTAATTTTAGTATTCTTTCCCATACATCAGGGGACAGAAGAGGATTAGATGGGAAACTGCCTCTGTGGACACTCTCAGCATGTGAACTTTGGCTTTGAAGCTGCTGAAAGGCTCTAAAAATTCTGTCTAGAACATCCAGCATGAGAAGAGGTCATTGTAAAGGCTTATCCTCAGAAACTTGACTTTACTTCTTATTGTGCCCACTCTTCTTTTAAAAACAGCCTTTGAATGAATCAGATGATAATTGCTTACAGTTGTGATTTCTAGACAAATTCAAACAGGAAAAAGCTTATCCAGCTTCTCCAGGTCGAAGACTATACAAAGGCTGGTCAGCTTCACTAAGTATGGTGTATATAGGTGGATTTTTTCTTTCCCCAGTCTCAGTGTTATTGCTAAGATGTTCTTTTTTTGCTTGACAGTGGGCTTCCTGCCTGCACAAGAAATTTTTTTTTCTAAAATTTTTCATTCTTTTTTTCTTTTTTTGAGACACGGTCTCACTATATAACCCAGGCTGGCCTTGGACTAGCCTAACTCCTGCCTCTGCCTCCCAAATACTGGGATTACAGGTATATACCACCATGCCTGTCTTGCTAACAGTTTTTGAGTGTTTTCTCTGCTAGGCACTGTGTGGGGTCTTTGCATGAATTTTCTCATCTGAGGTTGAGCCTATAACTTTTCTGCTATTTTACCTGTAGTTTCACAGGGATCATCAGCAAATCTTTCTCTTAAAAGTTAAGACAGACTTGTCCTATAAGCTAAACCATACTAAATTTGATAAACTTTATTTATTATACCCACACTTTATTTATTATTGTGCCTACTGTATTAGCTTCATATTTCAAGCTATAAATAGAAAATTAATTCAATGTTACTTTCTTACTCCTTTCTCTTTCTTTGCATTTCCTGGTTTGGGTCCCCACCACTTGGTGTTTATTGAGTTGAATAAATCCCTAGAAAAATCAGGAAGTCATAATGCTTCCCCTTTCTGAAGTCCCCTCTCTGCTGCTCGTCCCTTGCCCCACTGTTTACTTCAGGCTCTTCCATGTGGGTGTTCATGTATTAGGTACAAGCATGTGCGCCTTGGGCCTCATTTTCTCAATTCCCAAGCTCTGCGATGGGTCACTTTTTTTAAGTTAGAGGAAGAAGATAATGGAAGACTAAGGTTAGCTGCTGTTTCCCTTTCTTGTCTAAATGGTGTCATGAAATAAACTTCATTCTCAGTGGACTCATTACAGAAACTTATTATACATGCTGTATTGGTGGAGGCTGGACTGGGTCAAGGGTAATCTCACAGAGATAAAGGACATTTTAAGTGCATTAACATTGCTGCATTTAGCTATGGGCAGCGTTCTAGGGCATGATTGCCATCTTATTCCATTGTGATGAGAGGAAGGTAGTGACGAAAATCAAAGCTTTATGAATGATGATAAATAGACCAGTTCATAGAGTGCAAAACAAGAAAAGTGAACTAAGTGAGTATTGCTCCCAACTTGATTGATGTAGGCTGATGGATTTTTTGCTTTTAAAAACAAGATCAAATGCTAAGAGATTTCCTAATTCCTCTTGTGATCATTCTTTAATATGATTAATATATTTAGTCTTTTCATATGCTTAAAACAGCAGGGCTAAGTCATGTCCTATTTCTGACTCATTTATTCATTTGAATGTTTATGAAATATTTCTTGAATAGCTACTATATGCCAGGCACTGTGTTCTTTATTCATTCTGGCCAATGTCATACCAGTAACTAAACAATAACTTGAAAGTCATTCTTCATGTTTACAAGTTATAAAGCACTTTGCTGGAGTAATATGAAGAAATAGTGAATGTTGCAGGTAGGATAGAGCTGTTTTTAATTTGAAACAAAACAACAAAAAATGAGAATCTTTCCAAAACGTCACATACTACCTCTGGTTGATCTATTTCTTTTACATTTGATCTGCTTTTCTCAAACTCCTTGAGTCCAGTGCTAATCCATGTGTCTGCATTCAAAAATGTTTGAATATGTCCTAATTTTGGTGCCAAAATGAATAATGGTGAGTTTGCTGAACTTTAGTCATTAAGCAGATCTTTTGGTAGGCAGGCATTTTACCACTTGAGCCACACTCCCAGTTGAAGCAAAACTTTCAGAAGAAAGCCTTCTCTTTCCTTCCCCTGCCTCTTGATATCCAAGTGATGGACTTAAATAAGCTTATTCAAAAAAACTGGTTGTGAAATCTAGGCCAAATCTCCTTTACTGGGAGGGGGCATAAAGGAGAATAATGGCGGGAGTAAGTTCAACTATTGTAAGAACTTTTGTAAATTTCACAGTGTACCCCCGTACAACAATAATGTGATATTAAAATTAAAAAAAGAAGAAAATCACATCTGCTTTTAGATCTCTAGCTCTATGACTCATCTTACCCAGGTCTTTGAAAGAACATTCTCTTGGTTTGGTTCAGCTTGTGAATTGGATAGGTACTTTGCATTGCTGTAGGTGTTAGATCATCAGGTTTTCTTGGTTCTCATTTTTCAGATTCAGTTAGGCTGTGTGTAGGATTGTCAAGTTTGACTGATAAATAACCAGTTATTTGGCTGATGAATGACCAGACAACATGGTCCTGTGGTGGTTTAGCAGAGAGGCTGCCTATATTCAAACATCTAATAAATGGAGGAACTGGAATTGGAGCCCAAGCTTTTCTGATGCTCTCCAGAGTTAAGATGCTCAGCCATCTCTGGGGTGCTGTGAAATGAAGGTTCTGACTCAGTTGCTTGAGGACCGCAGTTCTGTGTTTCTAATAGTCCCAGGTGCTGTCCTTGCTGCCAGGCTTTCAGTCAGAGTGCTCAGTTCTGTGATGTGTTCTTGGGTTACTGTTTTTGCTGTCTATAATCCTCTTGGAGATTAACCCCCAAAATTGGTAATTTACAAGTGAATGTCCAAGAACTGAAATTTTCAATTATTTTTCAGTTTTAGTTGTGCATGTCCATCACAGGACTTTTAGCTGTGACTGTTCACTGTTGGGGCCTTGGGGGAGCTTTGTTTACTGAATGACGTGGGAGTTGGAGGAGAGAGCAAACAACTACTAAATTCCATTCTGTCTAAGGTGGACATGATTTTACATTTTATCATCTCTAAAGCTGAGATGTGTCTGTTTTATAAGAAATCTCCCTCCTGGCCACTCTCTTTTTCCTGATCTAAGTCCGAGCTCTCTTGTTCTGTCACTATTTAATGTGAGACCCTCAACTGAATGGTTTTTATTCTGGTCAAACATTCTACAGGGCAAGATGGATTGGGGTGTCTATCGCTTGTCTCTGATATCTGGTATCTCCGGCACCAGATCCTTCTGTCTTGATTTGGGCTGGAACGCCTATGGAGCTGGAGGTGAAGCCTAAAAAAAGCTCTTTAGTGAATTAACGTTCTAAGTGATCAATGACTTAACATACTTTTGTGAGAGGCAATATTGTTTTCCTTGATGGTAGGCAAATTAATAATTCATTTTCCATGGTGGCTTTGGTTTGAAGAGATTTGTGAAGTTTACATTAGTTAGGAGAAAAAGTTCTGGATTTGGAGGAGAAGGTACAAATGAGACATCTGGCTCTTGCAGTTCACCAGTTGTGTGACATAGCCTGGGCCTTATTTCTTTACAAATAAAGTGACACTTGGACCACATGATCTCTAAGGCCCTTCCAGTTGCGAATTAGTTGAATTCTGAATATGCTAGAATTAAACATGAAAGCTG